AGCTATGTACAAGTAAGACATCGAAATATATTTTTTTGATTTTAAAATTGTATTTAGTTTGAATATTTCCACAATAAGCCTTTTAGGACGGATCGGTACGTGCAGGCGCGTTAAGTCGGAGCGCGGAATTGGCGGGTTGCCTTGGCGTAGGCTATTCGTCGTAGGACGTTACAATCATTAATGCCAAATACTTCAAACGCTTTCACGAAGTTTGAGCCATTGTCGGTCACCGTTCCTATTACTTTATTATTGTCCAAATCAAATTCTTGATTAATCTCTGCTAAAATATCTGTCACCTTATCGTGTGAATGAGAGCCTTGAAATCTTCGACACGCTAAAACAGCCGATTTTCGTAGTAGTGATAAGTGATTTATCTGAAAAACGATGGTGATATTAAAATTTTGAGCTGGTATACATACATTTAAAATAAATGCGAATGCACGGGCAAATGTGTAGTGTAAATCAGTTTTGAATAAGTTCATGGGCGTCCACGAACAAGTGAGAGTACGTGTATGCATGAAAATCGGTGAGAATGGCTGGATGAGCGATTGTTTATTATTTGGGAAAAAATATGAATAATAGATTAATATTAAAATTCACCCAGTGAGCCGTGACTCCCATAAAACTGCGAGTCGGTGAGCTCCAAATATCCGCTGTTAAGCATACATGATAAACCGACTTTAAAATATTTTTAATTTCATTTTTCTGAGCTGCTATGAGCGCGTCTGCAGTCTTAACAACTTTTGCTCTGGATAACGTTTTCAGTGACTCGTCTCCACATTTAATTTCAAGATCTGAAAAAATACATAATCAAAATCATTCAATAAAAAGAAAAATGTACGTTTAGAATCATTTTATTTATGTATATGAACGATTCTCAATAAGCGTTAAAAATTGAAGTATAAAATCATAATGATTCTTTTATTGCACTACACCCATGAAAAACGTTTTTTTTTTAACATTCTGGTGTATAAATCAATAAAATAATGTTGCCACTCATTTTTGAAAAAGCTTTATTAAAAAACAACCCCTCAAAAGCTGTCAATTTTGAAGTGAATTTTATATGACAAGGATGCACCTAGTGAAAAAATTGTCTTCATAAAAAGTGTTTAGAATTGTTCAAGGAATATCCCTAAATTTTTTCAGAATTTTTGGAGCAATTTTTGGATTTTTCAACGAAATGGTCACATCCAAAAATGTGAAAGTCGCTCTATCGTTAAGTGCTTAATTTTAGAGCTCAAAAATTTAATTATTATACAATTAAAAACATAAATCATTTTTAATTTGAATCATTTTTTTCTAACATTCAGGGGCATAAATCAATAAAAAATTGTTGCCACTCATTTTAAAAAAACCTTTATTAAATGAAATGCACGATGAACTTATTTCGGTTTTTTATGTAACTTAGAAAACATTAATATTATAGTTTTTTCCGCAATTTTTTTCTCAAAATTCATGAAAAATGTATTACAATAAACATAACAAAACATAATAATATTAACAATAAAATAAACGTAACATAATAATAATAACAATTAACAAAAACTACGATGAACAATTATTTTAATGTTATGATTTTTTTTCATAATTTTAACCTGGTTTCCAAGCGTTTGGTTTCAGCACATAATGGTTACATTGTGATTTTGAAATTTCTAGTGTTTTTTCATTAGGTGATTTCTAGTATTTATTTAGAGGCCTTTATTAAATTATTGCTAATTTTTTTATGTTTTATTATAATTTTTGTATTATTACTTATAATTCAAAAATTTTTTCATCAAAAGAATTAAATATAAAAATAATTAAAACAAATTTTTATTTATAATAATTTTTAATGCATAATTTTGCAATAAATATTTAAACAACATTGTTTAAACAATAATTATTGCTGTTTAAACAATAAACTAGTTCATTTATTGTTAAAATTATGCTTTGAATCGAATTTGATAACATTCAACGAATTCACTGCAATTATAATTTTTTACTCGATTTTCTTAAGCGTTTCCCCGCTATTGAAATAAAAATTAGGGTATAAGATACGCATTTTTAGATTGAGTACCATCGATATTAAAAATGGCAAATGGTTTTAGGAACATCTGAATAATTTTACGGGTGTAACATTAAAAAAACCATATTTTCTTAGCGAGTGGCGCAGCATACATGCGGGATTCAATTGCATGTATATTCTTCAACTGAAGACTGACAGTCTTCAGTGACATCTCAAAAGATTCGTTGAAGCTAATACTTGAAACTGCTGTAGTTTGGTGCAGATTAACGAACACTTTTTTTAGCTATACCCGTTTAAATATTTTTAACTTGATTTGACAAAAAGCTAGTCCCTCTTGGTATATTAATGGTAGGCGCTTTTCAAAGGGTCTGACATGAACCAAACATATTTTTTCAATAAATATAGCTTCAGAACTATCTCCAAAAAAATTTTGGAAGGGATTGAAGATTACTTTTTTACTCAGAAGCTCTAAGAAAATTTTTAAGTAAGGTAGTCCCTCTTTCAAATGTCTTAAAAATCGTGTTTGAATTGCTTGTAAATCTATCTATAAATACAATAAAGTAAGCAATGACTACATGATGACTTTCAAAACTTCCTATAGAATAAAATACATGCCCCTTGATCCTGATAAAGACTTTAATTTCGATGTATATAGCAATTTTTTAAATTTTAACGCTTAGTGAGAATCGTTCATATATTAAATTTAACGAACCACTGAAGATAGCTCTGAAAGATGCAGTTTCCACAATGCGAAAGGCTAACATATTGTCCAAAATACAGCGAACCACATTCTCTTCGAACTTTTTTTGGTCCAATGAGCAAGTCACTCTTTTGACTTTTTGTGAAGCATTGGGATTGCTGTCTTTGAAGCGCTTATAAGCTTTATATTCATCAATAGCGTTTGAATGCTTATAGGATAGAAGTTAAATAAAATACTTACAAGTCACTTTATATGATAATAATTTAAATAAAAAAATGTAGAAAGTTTTTAGTAAATCGATTCTACAAAATTATCGCAATACAAAAACTTTATAAAAAAATTGAAAATTTTGTTTTTGATAAAAACCGCATGAAAATTTTATAAAAATCAAATTATGGAAAAGTTTCGTTTGGCGATATTTTACTCATAAATGCGTTAAAATGCTAATTTTTTAAATTTTCGAAACTTCTCTATAATTTGATTTTTATAAAATTTTCATATGGTTTTTATCAAAAAAAAATTTTCGATTTATTTATAAAGTTTTTGTACCACGATAATTTTATAGAATCGATTTTATAAAAATTTTATAATTTTTTTCTTTGGGGGTCATAATTTAATGTAAATTAAATGTTAACGAAATTTCTGCTGAACTTACTCGTTTCAAATGTTTCACAAAGTTAGATGATACATCGGGAGCTCCCCTTACATCCTTTTCACATTCAGGAAATTGACATTTACCACAAATCGAATTAACATCCGATTTGTCGGCCTCAAGCACAAAAAATTTCCCATCCAACCAGGCCTGCTTCGAATATTTCTCTATCAATTGCGGAGAAATTTTAGAAAGAGAACTTTCAGCAGTATTTGGTTGCGAATCCTCATTAACGACCCATACATCCAACGACATATCCTCTTCAATGTTCATAGTGAAGTTTGATTTTAAATGAATACTGAACATACAAAATATTGAATAATGTACGTAAATGTATTATACTGAATTAGAAAGCTTTTGGTTAGAACATTTTTGGTACGACGGAAAGAAGTAATGTGAGTTCCCGTGGTCCGCTGTCTCTCTTCCTTGGTGGTATTCG